AATGAATATTCAGTTTTGGACTGGCAATTCAGTGAGGACGTTATCAGGCATTCAATAATATTTTCCGGTAGAATAAACACCAAACGTCTGATTATTTAAAACAAAGTGTAGCCGTCGGTAAACAAAACCGCGTCCTAAACAATTCTAAATTTAGCTGAACTCTTTATCTGATCATTTACTATTGTTAAGAGCGTCAAGAGGGTTGAAAGCTAACAGAAGAGGGACGTTTATCTAACCAAGTCAACCCTCTTACATACACATCCTGAGACCCACTCATTGCGTGAAACCATGGTTTGGATTAGACCTTGTGTAAATAACTGACCCGAAACGTTTTCTGTCCAAAAAAATCGCCTTCACTTTTTGTTCCTCTGAGACGTAACATGGAGAGAAGAGTCGAGTTTTTCATATCCTTATGAAGTAGCATTTTGTAGACAGCGATATTTCATAACAGACATACTTTTCCGATATGCAAGGGCAATTTGAATTAATTGTTCTCTAGACCATAATGTGACCCATTCAGTAGTCACATGAAAAACGCGTGACGGAGAACAAAGATCAATTTTTTCAATTATTATTCTATGCTGCAAGCCATTTGGATAGATCGTCGTACTCTGAAGGGTAGGAGATTTGTACATCCACGAACGGCAAATTGATAACTCGTCTTCCTAGTTATAAGGTGAGCTTTATCGGTTTGGTATCAATCCCACTTGTATGAAGTAAACTTGCGGGAGGTCCATTGGGGTTCCAACTCGAAAATGAGACGCTATTGTTTTCCGATTCCAGCCTTTGGAAAAGTGACAATGATTTGATAATCTTTTAGTGAAATGGGTCAAATTACTAGCAAATTCAATGTAATTAAAATGTAAACAAACGTGACTGATGAGAGTCTTCTCAGAGGCTACTGTACCCCTTGGCCCTAACTCCAAGGTAACTTTCACGAGCCCCCCTCCCCCCACCCCCTGGATTCCAGCGCCCAGTGCTGAAGTACACACAAACAACACAAGAAACTGTCTGTAGTGTGGGGAAGAAGTGAGGAACCCACAGTGTCACTTCTCTCTTTCAGATTTTAATTTTCCCTGCTGTCTCGCGTACGCAACGAAGCTATACCCATCACTCACAAAATTATACCCCACACTCACGAATTTTCTTTTGTACCGGGGGGGTTTATGGCGTTTTGAGGCGAAAGCGAGGCAAGTTCAAATGTTAAAATGGCAAATGCTAATTTGATTGTTGGTAGAAGTATTCATCAGGGTAATCGTAAATGTTCTTGTTCCTAATGAAACATACAAGCTTGAAAACCTTAAGTTGAAAGTTTGCATTCCCAAAGGTATCTCGACACCTCAGGAGATGAACAGTTGAAATGTAGCGAATTGGAACAATTCCAAAAAGCCATTGCATGAACCTGAGCAACTTATTGAGACACCTTCTTTAACTGGTATAGTATGTGATATGGTTTTATGTCAACATAATTCACCTTCCTGCAGCGAGACAGCATTTTTTATATGTAGTTTATCTCCTTGACATTCAATTAATAAAGTTTCGTTATGTTTAATTACTTGCTGTATTTTCTTCCTGTTAAGGATAACACTTCAACGGTAGGACTATGAAAACTAATAACCATCGATTGGTACTATTCTAACTGCATCACTTCAGTACTACAATTGCAAGGTGCTATGGTTTCCAAGGTTTTGCAAGAAAATTTGAGAATATGCTACTGGACCATGACTCAAAACACCCTACTAAGAATATTGCAAGTGAAGTGACAAACATACATATTAAGTCATCTCTTCTTACCTTTTCTGTATGAACAACAGCATATGACACAAAATTAATCATTCATCAAATGTACAAACTGGATGAGAAATAAAAAAATAATAATTTTCTCAAGAAATAATTAACCATTGTTTTTGGCTCAAGGCCTATTATTGAACTGTTAAACCTGTTAGTTTGCAATCTTATTATTGGTAAGTGTTACATATTACTTTTCAAAAAGGTTAAAGGGTTGTCTATGCATGTGTGTATGTTGTATCAGGTGGTGGTGGGGTAGCCATATTATCTGCTAAGTTTTAGGCTATTAGGCTTTCTACTAAAGCGAAAGAGGGAGGGGTGAAGGAAACCATTGAGTATCTATGGGAGTAAAAGAAACCAAAATTTTGAAAGTGAAAGATCCATACCCTTCTCCAAAAATTAAATACATCTTTTAAAAATAATGTGTTACTGAAATATTTACACTTTATGTTTGTACTTTTGTATATTTTTTGCTATTCCATTATTTTTACAAAGCATTATATTCTGACTAAACCTCCCTTGCTTCCTTTCCTTAATTAATATGCCATACTTTACAGGCTCAAAGTGCATCGAGTTAACCTCGCGGCACTTCACTTTCTATGAGAAACTGCTCGTTTAAAACTTTATTAAATTTCACACATGGGAATTTTTTTTTACAAGATCACGCAGTGAGGACTTTCCATTCGTCTTCTTAAAACTCCTCTTGCCACTGGATCTGTCGTCCGTCTGTTCTGTTGCTCGCACTTTGTACGCGAAGCCTTTTACCTTAGCTATGTGGTTAACAGTTCCAATTCTGGTGGAGTTCAGGCGAACAGGGTGAGCTCTCATTGCTTTCTTAGTTTTTTGCCTAAACGTAGACCATGAATTAATAATTAAGACAGTAGTGTATTTCCAAACAACCGGACTATCGTTGGAGAAAATACTGTGGCTTGAGCTGTATTTTTCCCACAATATCATATAATATTATTTCATTGCTTTGGATAGCATGGCATTACGGTTATCAGTCTCTCTTTTTATTAAACCTAAATTTTTAGTTTAAATGTTTCTTTATTGAGTCTCAGTTCCTTTCTTGCTGCTGCTTCTCTTGAGGTATGATAAAACACCCGGAATCTGTTTTCTAGAGAATATACTTGTTGGAGCCGACTCGCGGCCGAATGAACGAACTGATATTGATTAGTTCCACTTCGAGACAACACAAAGTGGTGGAAATGTCTGTAATTTGAAAGTCGTTCATAATCACGAGTTCAGTTGACCTGGATTAAAGCGTTGTGTTCACAGCTTCGTGTCAAAAAAGCTCTCGGCGAATTGTCCCCGACACGTCCAGCTATTCTAGGTGGAACAGTCGCAAAGTATGTCGTAATTTCTCTTGCGTTAATATGCATTTTTGCTTTGGGTAGCTCAGCGAACGTAAAAAATCATTTTGATTTTCTTTTCATTATCCTAAAACAGCTTCTTTTTATTTTATCCAGCGAAGCCAATAGTCTACAGAAGTATAAAAAAATGAACGAAAAGTTATTTACCCAGTGTGCATCATTTGTCTTGAACAAGTGGGATCAAATTCCTGCAAACAATGCCGAACAAGTGAAGCAAAAGTAAATTTAACTTACTGAAAGGTTTTGAGACCTCAATCTTGTGAAGCAGAGCTCTATCGCTCCTCCAGTAGAGCTCAGTGTGCACATATGTATAGCGTCTCACAGAGGTATTTGATTAGCTTTCACGTGGATTAAGTAATCTTGTTTGCAGAGCAGTCTTCAGTTCAAAATAACCAAAATTTTTCATAGTTTTAGCTGACAGTGTTCCATATACTGGCAAAGAATACTCTTTCAACTTATCATTATGAGCTCCATTGAGACTTTATGATGATAAAATCATTCCTTAAAGCTTACCTGTTGTTAAAGTGGAAGACACGATGAACTAGAACGTGACATGTTTAGGTCAGTATCTTAGCCTACTTGAGTATGAAAAGCAAAGCCTATTAATTAGGGGGGAAAATAATCGAAATTGATATATTTAAGAATTGTTTAAATTAAAAATGTATTATAATCCTTACACTTCATTAGCTAAACTTGAGCAATTTTGACCTCATTTACAATCCAAAGAAAGAATAACTGAGCGATCTCGTTAGATTCAGTTTGCAAGGAATTGATTGCGAAATGATTCTTCAGTTACTACTGTTGCTTAGTTTCGTCGTCATTCATGTCTGATGAAACAGAAAACCCACGCGGGCATAATTTTTGTTGGCCTCAAGGAGGGATTTTCCTCGTACTTTCGATCCAAAAGTAAAATGTGAAAAATGTAAGCGTTTCGCATCTTTATAAAATTTCTTTGATTTTTCTTAGCACCTTTTGTGTTACTTCAATTGTTTTCCTCAATCAGTGAGGTGCAAAATCAGCGAAAACCTCAGCGACCAAGAGTGTTCGGTCAAAACAAATCTTTGTTATCTATTTCGCTTCCTCTCGTTTTCCTCTTCTTCTTCTTCTTTTTCCTCTTCCTTTCCATTTTGTAATATGAACGTAGTATACTGGAAAATTATTGACTGGTGCTAATTGCTGCCCATTCATTTTTCACCCACGAATCTGTTAACGGTAACGCCTGCCATCATGAAAAGTCACGCATCACCTTCAAAGTGTTGCGTCATAAACGTTCGTGACCTGAAACCGATGTGTCGAAACAAGTTTTTGTCACGCTCACGTAAGCTAAATTGTTAATCGATGAAGTCGGCTTTTATTTCACTTTCCTCTTTTGTAATATGAACGTAGTATACTGGAAAATTATTGACTGGTGCTATTAATACTACAACAATTGCTAATTGCTGCCCATTCATTTTTCACCCACTCATCTATTAACGGTAACGCCTACCATCATGCAAAGTCACGCATCACCTTCAAAGTGTTGGGTCATAAACGTTCGTGACACCTGAAACCGATGGGTCGAAACAAAGGTTTATCACGCGCACGTAAGCTAAATTGTTAATCGATGAAGTCGGCTTTTATTTCACTTTCCTCTTTCGTAATATGAACGTAGTATACTGGAAAATTATTGACTGGTGATATTAATACTACAACAATTGCTAATTGCTGCCCATTCATTTTTCACCCACGAATCTGTTAACGGTAACGCCTGCCATCATGAAAAGTCACGCATCACCTTCAAAGTGTTGGGTCATAAACGTTCGTGACACTTGAAACCGATGGGTCGTAACAAGGTTTGTCACGCGCACGTAGGCTAAGTTGTTAATCGATGAAGTCGGCTTTTATTTCACTGTACTGCGGCAAGAAAAAAACTGAGAAGCACTTACTGTAGCCAGAGTTTTTACCAGTGTTGGCAATCGCTACAGAGCTCGCTAGTATTCAAGTGGAAAAAGCTACAAGGTAAATCAAAACGATTTGTGATATTGTTTTCAGTGTTATGACATGACCGTGTTCAAATGTCAATGTGTTGGTGTTGCGATTCTTTGTTGCTTTAAATATAGGCTACTACTGATTCCAACAGTGCTATAGAATACTTAAGTTTATTGCGTAAATTTGTATTGCTTGGATACCACACCACGACTATTTTAGTTACATTTCAATTCGTTTGCCTGCTGGGGACAATTTCGTATTCAGGAATGAAGACGAAATTTGCAAATGCATTTACAGTTGCAGCCAGTTGCAACCGTTTCAAAACTTACGGAACCTTGCTAGATTTCAATTCTGCCACATTGACTTACTCTACAGTAGCAGAGAATAAAACTTAGATGCATGTATTCGTCAATGCAACTGGAGTATTTCCGGTGAACTTGGATGAATACTACAGATCATTACAGACAGTGATGTTTTGAGTCACTGCACCCAGTGTATGATGATTGATGTCGATAAAAATTTAACCTACCGTGAAGAAAAAAGCCCAGATGGAAATTTGAAGTCTCTGGGTAATATAGTACAATGTTACCTATGTTTAGAAAATGTAGTTTAATTCGAGGGAGATGCAATTTTGATTTTCTCCAGCTGGATTAAAACGAAACATTTTCATGTTTCATCTTAGAGTTTATGCTAACCATTCTTCTCATGTGACAAAATCGAGACTCACTCAAAAAGGGAAGGCTTACGATTGTGACGTGAGGTTTAATATAGGAAATCGACTCACGCACGAAGGGTTTCATCTTTTGTTATTCTTTATAAACCACAAAATTCCTTCATGTAAAGGGAAAACTAGCCTTTATTAAATAAAGAATAAATTAAATAAATTTGCAATGCTTTTGAGCCTGATCTGTTTTGAAAACTTTATTTCTTGTATGTTTTTATCTCAAACAACAACGTTGTTAATTATAATTTAATTCTTCTCTGTCGTTCGACACGGTTCAAGCTCATTGCACCGTCTAATAAACGTTCGATCCTTTCCAACAGGAACAGTATAGATAATTCTCACAAAGATTTTAGAATTTACACGAGCTTCTTTTGTTTGTTTTCTATTTGACTACGCTATTATGGGGCTTAAGATATGAAGCTGGTGTTTGCATAAGGTGTGCTCAGCAAAATAACCTGTAATTAAACTGAGTCGGTAACTATGCAAATGTTAACTTTGCTGTAGGATACACAAATGTAAATTTTTCAAGGATTTTTTTTCCTGCTCCTAAATTTTCGCATTTCATCTCTGTTGAAGAAAATGAGAAAACACAAGGGGATCAAAGAAAATCGGTATATGAAACTTTCTCGTGCTTTCCAATACCTTTTTCTAAGCTTTTCCGCCAGCAAAAGTGCTCTGAAACCGCAGCCAGTCAATCAAGTTGAATTTTCCATTTAATTTAACTCTTAAGAGTCTTTAAGAAAATTGACGAATTTCGATTACCCATTGGCGCCTTTTAACAGTTAAATTGAGAATCGTCACGAAACATTCTCAGCAACTCACGAACACTGTGATATCAGGATTCTGGAGAATGCAGTCAGCTGTATTGATATCTACTCCATGGAAACTAATCAAAATAAAAGTAAGACAGAAGTCTGTTTTAAAAATGCGTGGCTAAATTCCTCTTGTTAGTGAGATTCCGTTCCTTGCCCTTAAGTCCAATTCAGGGTATTGGTGTCCCAACTTCCTTCCATCCAACAAACCATTGTGGGGAAACTGAGTTATCTATAAGACAGGCGCTTTCCCTTGGTGTAATGTTTGTTTCAACTTAGTTTCGTCTTTGTTAAGTTCTTAGACAAACAATTTACATTCGAATACAGCACCCTGCCGGTCTCTTTAGAAGATCATGTTTTTGTTCACAATGGGTTGTCCTCAAGGTCTTCCTATTTCCACTTTATTCTATACCTGGAATTCCTTCGCGAATTCAAATATCTTTCGAGTAAATAATATGCTCAAGACAGTATTGTTCGGACAAGCCACGAAAGCAAGGCAAGCTCTTTTAACTGGCTTTGCAATTAACAGGTGTTACTCTGTTGTCATTCTTCGTAATCACCTAAAACCCGACGGATTTAAAAGTTATATTATTGATGAAAGATTAACTATATGGAATTCTGGATGCGTTACATCACGATCCTTGATAAAAATTCAAAATTATTGTCTGCTTTGACCTCAAAGAGAATTGAAGCGGAAGATTTAGCAAGATTTACGGTGCCCATCATTAGTATTCAAATGTTTCCCAACAGGAGGCTTATAAATTATGGGAACCAAGAACATGTTGACTTTGCAAAAACTTGCTGTGTCTGCTTTGTCTCTAGATTATTAATTCTGAGGCTTCAGTTTTGAAAGTGGTATTTCAACAAGGTTTGAAAGGACCATGATTAATTAAGGAAAAATAATTGGACTAACCAGACACTTGTGCAAATATTGACTTGGTCAAATTACAAAAGCAAAATTATTTAAGGCTAGGGTAACATCACCACTGTCCATATTTCAATAGCAATCCGTTTATGAAGTAACTAGGAACGGAATAAGGGATTTTACGCAATCTGTCTTGCTCTCCCTTCCTAGCTTTTCTTGCTATTAATTTATCATGCAGATTGCAGACAAAAAGCGCCCTGTCAGTCAAATTGAAGTCCATTTCGTATCAGCTGGTTAAACTCTTGTGAGAAGTGACGCTAATTAACAAATTTCCAACATCCATCACCGCAAGACGTAAGAATTCTTGAGCATTTGTATTTGCCAAATCACCGTTGACAGTAATTATGTAGCAGACTCAGCAAAAGCAATGCATTAGTCCCTGGTACAAACACAAATTCAAATTACACAAGTTGGTCAGCTGCATTATTTACTACTCCTTTTTCATCTTTAGCCGTCTCAGAACTTGAAGTACGGAAAAAATCGTTGTAACTTAAAGGTAAAGGATAATTATGTCCGAGTCGGACGCATGCTTTTAGTAAAGTCGTTAATCATAACTTAAACGTTGTCTTTTGTTTCAGTAAAATGTTTTCCCTTTTTGGGCTAGTGTTTATCTAAAAAACTGTTGACAGAAGCCCTAAGTGGGAAAAAAATTAAGTAAATAAAAATCTGCATCAAAAATGCTCCCTGCTTACTTATGTAGACGGACGTGTTTGCCACCGGCTACTCTTTTATTCCTTGTGTAGCATTTTCCAAGAGCTTATGTCTTGTGCTATTTACTGAGCTAAACTGCAATCGAACCGACGTACCCGCCTGTCCTTTTCATTGTGCTTAAATTGTACTTTTTATGTAGTCGAAGGCAAGCTGATATGCAAAAGCTCTCTTTTAGACTTTGGCTGGATTTAATGACAAACTTTAACACTAGCTTTTAAGAGTAATCGTAGATTCAGTGACATTTATCAAGCATTTGTTACTTTCCTCCGTTTCAATTTGAATGAAGCCAGTTCAGAGTCTCTTTTTAGTTCAATTTGACTACATTGGGAGGTTTTAAATCTCTCCAGGAGCTGGTTGAATGGTATTTTATTTTGATACCAGAAATAAAAATACTACTGCCTTTTTTTAGGCCTGCGACATGTAGTTATGTCGTAGCCTTGAGGAATAATTAAAAATTTAGTTTGCCTGATCAAAATAATATGGCGATAAACAAAAGAGCGAACAGGAACAGAGGAGGAAGAGTCCTTTCTAAAATGTTTCGATGTTCTTTGGTGTTCAACCATTTTCGGTATTGCGTGAGACGTGCTAATAGTCGGCAATTTTTATTAGCCAAATTGCCTCAGGGGTTAATCAGCGAAAGGTGTTTACAACAGACGAGACATAATTCGGTAGAGTCTCCAGGATATTTCTGCAACCGGAAAGAAGATACATGCTCAGAAACCATTTAAGTTGTTGACGCACGTTTGAGCATTTCGTGTGCTTCTTTCTCTTCGTGCCGACTCTAATCTGAGGACTATATTTACAGATCATTCGTGGTATCAGGGCCAGGTAATATCTTTGAAAGTGCCTTCATGATTGACAATTATAGTTCTTGAAAATGGAAGGATGCTGGAATCTTGGCATACCCTTGTGATTCCCAACGCGGTGTCAATTCTTGCGCAACTCCTTGTCTGAAATTCATAACTTACCTACATGTTGTACACACTTTATCCTTCACTTTAAGGATCTTATTGACTTTTTATATCCTATATGCCGAACAGCTCAAGACTTGTATCAATGAAAATTTGGCCACAGCGGTTTTTTTTTTGGTTGTTTGTTTTTTTGTCTCCGTTAAGGCACGTCCGCGTAAAATTCCCTGCAATATCTTAAGGAAGACTTTGCAGCAAAGAGAGTCACTAGACAGCATAAGCCAACTTTGAAACAAAGACGGTGGAAGCGCTCGTTTTCCTCCGCTTTGGCCTGGATTCGATTCCCTAAACTGTTGATGCATTGATGCGAGTGTACTGAATTTGTTGGTTGTTCTCTGCATTGTTTCGAGGGTTTCCCTACCTCCTCAAAAACCATCACTTCAAATTTCGATTCAACCTGGAAAAGAAAATACTAAAACCCATCCCGTGCAAATTCCAAAGTAAAACTTTGGTTTGTTCATTTCATGTAATATGTAAATTTTCCTTTGACGCATACGCTCGCCCCTGGGTACTGTTCTCCTTCTTGCCCTTGTCACTTCGATTCCTGTGCATCGAAACCTTTTTGGCTACTGATGTTTCAGACCATGATTTATTCAAAATGGCTACCGCATCAGTGAAAAGATTTCATACCACAATTATGCATGTTATATTCGAAAGCCCGCAGAGATATTTTTATAAATCTTTAACCACGTAACTTGAGATTTTCATTCATATTAACAAGCTAAAGGATAAGAAATTGCATTATTTTCCTATTTGTCAAGTTGTGATTTTGACTGATGGATTCGCCTCAAGTGTTTTCTACTGATATCATCTATATTATCGCTTTTTCTTTTAGAACTTGTGAGTTGTAGCGGTTAAATCTTCTATTATATTACTATTTTGGAAGATAGTATTGGCAAATTAACATAAGTTGTCTTTTATTAATTTTAATTCTGTCTGAAAACAGGAATTTTTGAATTGATAAACTCTAGTTAAGATCAGAAGCTTTCACTGCAAAGAATCCGAAGAAAAGAACAGCAAAATATGCCCCGAAAGAGAAGTGTTTCCTTTAGTCCGAAAAGTATTTCAGTTTGACGCTAGCGCTGTTCAGGCCAATCATATTCCAAATAACGTGGAAAACGCTGGCATTTAAATTTCTTCGTGCGCGAAAATGAGAATGTCTGATTCCATTGCCATGTCAGAAAGGTAGGAGATTTGAGCCCATACTAATCTTTCACCAAAACTATTTTTATAAATGTATCACGAGTCAAGCCTCAGTACCAGTGAATAGTAGTATTTCAGTATTGTTCTAAATATTTTCTACTTATGATATACTGTCAATATTACTTCAGTAGACTCAAAGTCTCCACGAAATGTAGTTGTGGGAAATAGGTAAAACATCGTTCTTGATAATACAAGTGCATCGCTAAAGCTCTTGCTACTATGGTGGTTTGTCATGAACATAGATAGTAAGTTCGAATTACTCGTTGAAGTTAAAATTACCTTCAGTTAAAGTTGTATCAAGGTCATTTCGCACGAGCTAGTTGTGATCTCCTTAGTCATGTCAGGTGGTTAAATTTGCTTCTTTTCGGGTACCTCGACCGAATATTTTGTTGCTAAAATTGATCCAGAGTGCAACAGCAGTTGCACAGCAATACCAGCTTATGTTTCGAAAGACCTAAAGTAACCTGTAACCAAGTAACTCTAACCAAGTTAAAAATTTACTTGAATTTAGCGGCTTCTATTTCCTTCGAGTGAGCAGGCTTATTCAACAATTTGACTGATCATAAGTTTGCTGAACAATGTGTTGTTATTATAATATATTCTTATTGATCAGATCAGAGAGATTAACGGTTGAATAGCAGCGCCCAATTTTCACTCAGCTCTGTCTTACCCCAACTGTCATATCTGTTGTTGTTCATTTTGTATTTGTTTAATTATCATCTTGTATCATCATTTTGTGGCATGTTCTTGTGGCAGGTCCTTTGCTATGAATTCTCAAGAAAAGTTAAACAGTGAGCAAAAGGTTTTCACTCGAGTTCCTTGTTGCAATCCTGAACGAAATACGACAAAAATTAGCATAACGTTGCTTATTGTGATTAAGAAATGAGATTCAGTCTTTTTACTAATGAATATTTTTTCTAATGAACCCTCAAAAATGTGGTGAACTGCAAGCGATATTTAGACAATATTGCGTGTGTTACATTTTAAGGTCAGGATTAAAGCCAACCTTAGACAAACCGCGCTGCTGACCGTCAAGTTTTGATAGACATCTTGACCTGAAATTTCTTCAGACACGGACAACAATACGAAGCGAAATTATCTCACAGAGAACATAACTCGGCCTCCTTTTGAATTCTCACCGCGCCAGGATACGTCTGGATATCGTCTTGTTTCAAGCCACCGTTATACTTTTTGAACCAAAACATTCACGTTTAATAGTGCCCCCTGGAAAAACGTTATGTGGCAAAAGATAAACAGATGCAGTGAACTCAATTCAAGGATAACGGAGAAAGTTTGACTGCCTCAGACGAGCGTTCCATATCATCGTCATGATTGTTATGGTTACGGTAACCTTAAATTTAATTACCGCTGTCAGAGAATAGAACTTTATGGTAAACATCTTAATTTAAATTCAAATTTTTGAATTTAATCCAGCTTTCGACGTGCTGAAGGGTATTTAGACGAACGTTCTTGAGCTCAACATGTTAGGTGATGTGTTATCTCATCGAGTTCTAGTCTGCACAAATATTGCGCAATGAGGCTTGAACATAAAACATAATACGAAGGATACAAAAAATATATATTTGATGGTTGATACGCGCAAATTAAGTAAAGGAAAATGAAATTATTAAAATGCTGGCCTTGAAATTATTGTGGTAAATTAGGTTCCTTTGATAGTGGGTCTGCATTTTCATCGGTGTCCACATTTGTCTGAATACTGGTGTGGCAAGATGCCAAAGTTTTTCTTTGTTAGGCAGGTTAAGCGCCCAGGATGTAGAAAGACTGAGGGCTTTGCTGGCTGAAAATACTAACGGAATGGTACAGTTTTTACCATTTTCAGTACCTTCAGATATGCATTCACAGTTAAAAAAGTTAGCATTTATTTTCCTGTAGACTTGTCTTTTTGCGTAGTCATTGGTGCATAACAATAGTGCTTCACAACAAATGGCAGCGCATAATTAATTTCTCTCAGATCATTATTTCCTATCTTCGTAGGAATGATGAACAATGCAAAGTGCAGCCTAATTCGAAAAACTTGAACTTCATACTCATCTATCCTCTTAAAACTCGGAGTTGGTCAATGTTCATTAATGCAAGCTAAACGATCTGATAATTTTGGTAGAAATGAGTTATTCATGAAAAGCAATGCAGTGGGAGGAAGTGGCCTGTAATATTTGGCAACTCAAAAGTCTCCCAAACTTCGCCCTTTGTATTTTTTTCGCAGTTTTCTTTACAATGAACCTTCCAAAGGTACTATTTCAAATTAAATAAAGCAAATGTATCCGGACTAAATGCGACGAAACAAGTAATTCGCACTTCATTGAACACGGAACCAAAAGAAGCAAATTTAATTATGGCTTTCATTGTTCTAGTATGTTGTGGGAATTTGCTCTCAGCTTGATCAGTTTTCTGATATTTCATCATCATTTTTTAAATCAGAGAGAAAAGCACGAAATTCAAAAAAAAAACCTAGAAAATGCGTGGTGAAAAGGATCTAAAATACACTCGACTATTTTAAGTTTTGCTCATGATAGCTTCGGTGACGCAATGCGACAGTTGACAAGATTAACAAATCCAAATCAAAGTGGTCAGCATTTTAGCATTTCCCTGCCTTAGAAGTTTATTGCACAGTCACCCATTTCTGATATTTGACATTTCCGTTCGGCCATCATTGACACATCTTACGAGCTAGTAATGGATAATTTATTTGTACACCGTACAAGCTGCCTGTGTATGCAAAAGTATGTGAGTTTAGCTCACTTGTATTTGCTATCCTTTCTATTTGCCTTCTTAGAATGTACAGAATGCGCTGTCCATCGTCCAATTGGCTTTTCCTGGTTTTTTCGTTGCTTCTATCCATTGGTAAGGCACTTCTACAGCACTTTCTTTAAATTTACCTCGTATTTTATTGAAAAAGCAACGATACTTTATGCCCTGCATTCAACGCCTTTACTTTGCTTTCAGTGTAGAGTAAGAAAAATCTTTCTAAGCTCACGATAGGACACACTGTAGAATCAAAATAAAATCGAGAGGATAAATCAACAAGTTTTAGTTTCTGTAATACCCTGGGTGTAAGAACATTTTTGTAACAAAACTCGTTATCTCCGAAATCAGCAGGCCTTTGACTGTCACTCTTTCCAAATGGAAGCTACCCGAAGAATTTACCAGACAAAGACGTTTGGGAAGATTTCAAACAAAGTCGTGGCATACGTTTGCAAAACAATTCGCAGTTTCAAATAAAAATAAGAGAGTAATTCAAGGGTTTACGCTCTGGATAAGACATTTAATTGTAATAGCTTCTTTGTAGAATGGTTGATTTACTTGATTTTGTTTACCAATCTTTCTTACTTAGACGCTGTCCTAGCAAGGAAATCTGAACAAGTAAGTCATATTTTTCCTCGGAAAAATGTTTCAATGGTAGTTGACTTTCAATGCTCATACCTTGGTTGGAAAAAAAAATTTCCAAACTACTTGTTCAAATTTGCGAGGGGTTCGTATTTTTCAATGATTACTTGATGTTGCTTATGTTTTGTATGTAAGATGCGTTACGGAAATCGATTTCACTTTGGTTGTGCGATGAAGATATGATAGTGATAATTGATTGAGACTGTCACAAATATAGTGCAACTCACTTCAATCGAAATAAAAATTTTTGCGAGACATCAATTTATTCGAGTTGTACAAAGGGGGTGCATCTCATGATCGGCTTGAAGCGTTTGTGTATTTATCTTCCTTGATTCTTTCCTTAGAATGTCCACCTTCACATGACCAAGAGAGAAATAGAGCATTACTTTGGTGTCAAGGATCATACAAAAAGTAAGACAAAAAAGTTCCTTTTTGCATGTTTGATAATTTTGAGCTATTTTTGCGATATTTTGAGCAGTGAAAAGAAGGTTAGTGCAGTCGTAAGCCCATTTAAGGTGTTGCTCATGGAGATCGTAACTGACAGCGCCCCCGAAGGTGGAGAGAGAAATAAAGCTTCTTTCCTAAAAACGTAATTAACTAAAGCCAGCCGAGTTTTGAACACGGACATTTCGACCTGGAGCCCAACGTACTACCTGTTAAGGCAACGCGTCTTCCACATTCCAACTGACACTGGGTAAGCCCCGAAAGGCCTAGACCTCTAAGAACGTAAGTTTTTACCATCTTTTCACAGTTCCCGAATACGATATTAGCTCGCCACATCATACAGACGTTAATGGAAGGACTACGTCTCCCTTTCGCATCAGGAGAGATGTGGGTCATTCAGATATTTTACATTACGACGTGCATGCATTTGGTTCCAAATTACGGCTTAGATTGAAGCGAAATGGTAATCTCATGGCACCGAACTTAGTTATTGAGAGACATCACGGAGAGGGTATGGTAACGACTCAATCTGCACCCAAAAACAAATACTACTTGGGACAAGTTTTGTCCGATCCAGATTCCTTGGTGGCCTTGCGAGGTGACAGAAGCTTGGTAAGAGTTTTGTTACGTTTGATGGTATCTTGAGTTTTTCTCTAAACGTTTTTGCCAAGCGATAGAGAAAGAAACATGGTAAGTTTGACTTATGTAAAGTTTCTGAAAATGGTGCTCTCGCTCAGACACGCCTGTGTTTGCTACCGTGTTAATGATGTGCATGAAAAATGACGCGCTTCTAATTGGCTGAAAATTGGTGCATTCTCTTGTAACTCGAGTGCAAATAACAAATAACACGCGCACACTTTCAAAATTTCGTCTGTCTTGCCTATCTAATATGTTATTTTTTCATGTAAATTATTAATAAAAAAAACATGATTTCTCCTGCAATTTGGTGTAAACAGCACTTGTAAATTTTTCAAAGACTATAAATTGTACTCACCCTATGGGCTTGTGCAATTTTGCTCTCTTTGAAAAATTTACTCGTGCTTATTAACACCGAATTGCACTCAAAATCATCTCATTACGCATACAAATTTCTTGCTGGTACTTACATTATGTTAATTTTTTATCATTAGATGGGTATGATCAGGACTTCTCGAGAAACACTATTTATACAGCCACTCTCGCCACACTTGGCCAGGAGAGTAAGGAGAAATGCGTACTCTACGCCGCACTTGATTTACAGAATTCCAACACAAGAAGCGGTTTCCTGTGAAATGCAGTCAACAGGTTCGTTCGTTTTGTAAAACGAGCAAATATTGGAATTAGTGATGCCACAGTAATGGCGCAGGAGTAATTTGTTTTAGCTCCATTCGCGATATCCCATGTTGGTTGGTTCCCGCCCTATGGTTCTTTTGTTTTCGGCCTTCCTCCACGATGATAAGCACTGCCAAGTTTAACTCGACTTGGGCACAAGACGCGAGGATCAATCTATGATAAATTCAGGTAATTTAGTGTGAACAACTGGGTTGAAAACGTAAATTAGCCACCGTAAAGGGTAAAAAAGCTGACGTTTCGAGCGTTAGCCCTATCGCTCTGACGAAGGGCTAACGTTCGAAACGTCAGCTTTTTTACCCTTTACGGTGGCTAATTTACGTTTTCAACCCAGTTGTTAACACTAAATTACCTACTTTACTCTCCCACCGACGCAGCACCACAGTTTCTTTAGAAACTTACCCCTTTATTCATATGATAAATTCAGTTTACTTTTCAATATTTTTTCTCTCTGGCATTTCCACTGGCAATTCTTTATGTGATTTTGAAAGCACTAAACCTGCTTTCGGTAAAGTGCATTTGCAATGCTCCCCCTAGGCGTTTGTTGTCTTTCAGCAGCCATTCACTAGTAAGATGGCAAGGAGGTAGCTATGTATCAGGTTTTATCTCCAGAAAATCAGGGCATTTGGGGTTGTGAGGGCATAACCCATACTGGTCGATTATCTTGATTTGTGCCTATGGTCATTGTGTCCGTACTGACCACGAGAGGGAGATCTGTGTAACTCTCGTGATACTTAGCCAGGATTGTTGTCTGTATATCGCATTGTGTTTAGACGTACTTATTTGGCCTTTTCCCACAGACCACTAGATTTTTCATCAGTACTGAGACCTTTTCTTTACTTCTATTTTTCTTATTTTTCAGGAAAAGATCGTATCAAGAGATCTACACTTAATAGGAAGACTCGTGAAGTAAAAACAAATGGCTATAAGTTTCTTGAAGGAGCGTTAATTGTTCCTAAAAGCTACGAAGAGAAGTATGGAACAGATAAATTTGCCACAGTACTCCTCGCTATTGCCAACATGGTATGTGTGCTTGGGCATATTTACGACGAAACAATATTGATTTTGTCTTAATCAAGGAGTTCTAAAATGGCTGGAAGCCAGACAAATATTCGCCGTATCAGCAGCTTTAGGAAAATGCCCGAAGGTTCTTTTTTTACATCAGGGAACAATTTTTTTTTTCATTCTAAAGGTGTCCTCTTTGATATGCAGAGGTTCACTTCAGTAGGAGTTTCGCTTAAACGAAAGGGTGGTTATTTACTATCCTGAAAATTTGCGATGGAAGATAAATTTTAACTTATCTTACACCTTTTAAAAGGAAATTCCATCTTTATCAGAATTACATTTTTTCATCTGATAGGTTGCTGGTATGTATCAAGATCCCAGTATAGGAAAAATCAAGGTCTATTACGTGGTTACCAGGATTGTTGTTATGGAGTCAACAGTAAAGCTGGTAAGAAATACCATTAAGAACCAAGTTTGCTAAAGATACTGTAGTTTAGATTGGTCTGGTGAAAACGAACCAGAAGCCATTGATATTGAAAAAGATGATAAAAGTGAAAGGTCGGAGCAAATGCACGTGATTGGAGCCAAGAGTGCGTGTGTAAACGTTGGAGACCAAGGCATACTGTTTCTTGTTTAAAAAGCTTCGGACGTGAGCCGGGAAAAGTGGTTCTGGCAAACGTGTCAGCGAAAGAGAAAGAAAGAAAAATAAAAGTCTTTCACTTTTGAACTCTTGTTTCTGAGAAGTCCTATCGTGCTGCATCGAGTCAGAATTTTTTAAAGAAAGGGAAAACCAATTGAAACAAGTTTAATTGCAGCTAAAAACTTTGTTTTCTTTTGCTATGTAGGCTAATTTCACTAAGGTCGACAGCAATAGCAAGAAGCTGTCACAGATGTTGAAATGGGCGGGACCTTCAACACTAAGAAGTAATAACGACCCGGATCACTATGACGTGTTCAGTTACGTGTCAAAGTACGTATTATCTTTAGATCCCCGGATGAATATCAAAATAATTTTCATTCGACGTCGCGCACAGCATTGGGTGGATAACCGAGAAAATAATACTTGGTCCGAAATCAAAGTGAGCTCACATAATGTTTCTTCTTATTACTGCTGAAATTATGACGTGAGCTTTTCCAGCTTGGGCTCTGTTTTGTTTCCAAAGGTTGCTACACGAACAAACATGCTCTTCCAGCTTGATTTCGAACGAAAATATATGATGTTACATCCGGGACTGTAACCCTTAAGATCTGAATAATGGTCCCCTTTCTAGTTGCTATACTTTTTCACCTAAGTAAACAAAAGATGAAAAGCACCCTCGAGCCGATGTATTTGTCCAATCCCATCGCCCCACTTTTTCCTGAATGATGTAAAGAGGGGAAGTTGCATTTGAAAAACCTTGATAGTGGTATTTTAAGTCTCTCGTGGGGTGTCAGACTCATCGGGAAAGGAGCAAACAGCATCGTATCCCCTTAAGGGTGAAAAATACTTATGGTTGTTTTACGAGGCATTACGTAAACGTTTCAAAAAGGCACGGGGGAAAGTTTGCTTAGAGAGAAACAGATACCAGGCTACAATATTAGAAAAACTCTACAATTAACTCCTTTTTGCACAGAAGATCAGACAGATAAACAGAGTACAGACAGACAGACTGTTTGAACAGTTTTTTATTCGTCACCAAAAGGACTCTATCATGGAGTGTCTAATTCCGGTAGAGAATTATATTGTTTTATGTAACTAAGCAATTGTCTCCCTAGACTTGTGATGAAATTTTGTGAATTGACCATCTTACCACTTTCTTCCCTTTTTGCAGTGAAATAAAAAGCGGAGGTAAGATGCTCTTTGCTGACTTGTGTAATCAGCTGAAAGATGCCAAGCTAGATGAGAGTCGTCGTTTTAGAAATTTTCAAATGTTTTTGGGTCATAAAGGTTCCAAGGAAGGTAAGAAGAATAAAGGGTCATTAAATATATCCTTATATGTATATTTTTAGGTCTCGCCATTGCTAACCAGATCTGCTCCAAGGCAGGCGCAGGGAATGGTAACATCAACGCTGATGTTGGTCTTCAAACTGCACTTCACGTCGCACACGAGATAGGTCACAAGTAAGTGACGACGTTGCGTTGTTTGCATTTTTGCATTACGCGTGATGTCAGTATTTGTCTTCGTCTTGTACGCTCTCCTATATCAGATTTGTTTGTCGCAAATTGGCTCGGGAAAAATAACCACCCGGATCAAATTTTAGATTGGAATATTTTAATAATATCGCGACGAGGTTTTCTCGGAAGTTTCGTGTGTCGTAACTTGAAGTTAAGGTAGCACAATTAGCTGATGTATGGACAGTTTTGTCGTTGCATGTTTGTTTGAATGAGGTAAGAAATGCTTGTACCTTACCATCACATGAGAATTAAAGGCTTACCTTTCTCTGTTGTCGCAGCCTTTACCTTGATCATGATGGCGATGTAGGGTGTCCGCAGCATCAATACATTATGGAAGCTGTTTTACCGAGTGGTATCTATGCAGCAACCTGGTCAAATTGTTCGCGGAGGGTCCTTCAGGAATTCTTAGGGTGAGTGCCTTCTTGTGGAAAATCAGTTAGCGTTTCCTAAACTTATGAAACAACTGAATATTCTCAATCGTATCTTGATTAAAATGATTTACATACTTTAGTAAATGCTGCTCAAAATTTATTTTCCAATATAATCTGGAAAACGATTACCACTTATGACCTTTATGCCTTTTTACACGTACCATAGAAATACTTTTTAGATTGATTTTAAATAGCATTTTACGTTATTACACTATATAATTATACCTTTTGTGATGTTAACACTCTAACGATAAGCTAGGAAACATTATGCGGTAGATGGGCTTTGTTTACTTTTACAGATCCAAATAATGAAAGTGTGGCATCTGTGAACTGCTCGCTAACATCTGCTAGGGTAATATCTTACCACTTTGTTCTTACTGTATTAACAGAGGCAGCAAGTCTTGGTGTTTAGATAACACACCCCTCGGCGATCTTCCAACCCTTAAACCTGAGTATCACGGCAAACTTCCCGGGGAAATCTTCGATGGAGATGCTCAGTGTGTCATGCAGTACGGCGCTGATTACGTATTGTCACCTTATCAAAAGGTGAGCTATGACTGAGAAAGGAAGTACCACAATGAATAGGTTCGGCGCGCAGCAAGCTATGGTTTACCTTATGCAGCTTTATCTTTGAACCAATGGGGAGCAAGTTGTTCTTGGATTTGAAATCGTTATGGCTACACTTAAAATATTGGATGGCGGATTTGGGAAATCAGTCATTCGTTTCACACAAGTCAGCCAAAGTATTTTCCACCATAGTGAGATTAGTTAAGCACCCAAGAAGAGATGGAAACTTTGAGATTACTGGTCCGCGGGGCCTGCGCGTCTTAAGTTAAGGAGAGCCCTTGCGAAATATGCAGTGAAGATGTCAGGCCATCAGACCTTCTCCTAAACAGATTAACATTTCACTCGATTTAAACTCATCGCCCTTTCTTTCAAAATAATTTCTACTTTAAATTTTTTTTTCAGGGAGTATGCGATAAGTTATATTGCTTTAATCCCAAAAGTGGAGTGCAATTGAGTCGTCTAGCACCGATAGCTGATGGGGCACCCTGTGCAGAACGCAAGGTAAGAGCAAGGATGGTTATCCTGCGATAATCTTATGAGCGCCCGTAGGCGTTTATTATGGCTATTTTCTTCTGCTACGAGCGAAACTTCCATGAATACCGTCACGAAAACACACCACGTACTTGTTATTAACATGTTTAAACGCTTTAGCACTTTCTGTTAACTTTAGAAAGGACTCCGTGAGAGTTTTGATTTAAGCAGAGGCAGTGAAACAAATAGCCGCGAGTATACAAAATAGCTGAACGGCATGAGTATACTTGCAATTTTGCTGTTCATGTCGTGAGTTAGGTCCTCAAACTTGAAATAAATTTTACCACCTAAAACCCTAAAACTGACCTTTATTGCGATGAAAAAGCTCCGAAAAAAATTTTAAATGTTTCCTACCCATGGAAACTTCAGAAACTTTCTGTCCAGCTTATAAGTTTACAGTGGTGAAGGAGTGGTAGAGGAATTCTGGTTACAGACTTCACGTTTTTCCCGTCCAAATTGAAGTATTCTTCAAAAGCACTTTTATAGTTAGTGCCTTCTAACTAGTGTGATCTTGCACATCGCTATTTTACGTAAGTTTTCTCAACAATTTCTTCTCGGGTTTTCAGTGCCATTACGTTCATACAGCGGGAAACTAATTTGTCTTTGCTCTTCTGACCAGCGTTTCATTCGGCTCCCAGCGCTTTGATTGATTTCTCGCGATTTTTTTTCATGGTTTTCATGAGAATCAGCGATTTTATCACAAATTAAGAGCTAAGAATAAGTTTATCTTTATCTCTGACAAACTTCGCTCAGAATTATGTCATGGAGGCGACAAACAATACTCTCTATTATTTCCCCGGCGTAACAAGCCACGCGGGATGTTGGAAGAACACGAGAAAAGTTTGTTACTGGAGGTTCCTGCAATCTGATTGACTCTCAGCAGTACGATCTAATCTCAAATCGTACCCTTTTCATTTTTTGTTGAATAAGACATTTTGAAGGACAAAAATTTGAGCAATTCAATTGTAACATTTCAAAATTAGATGTTGTTATAGAAGCGGAAATTGGACTACATGTTCGGCCATTTTCATGCGCGTTTATTCGATTTTGAAATCGAGCGTACAATTCCAGACCAGATTAAACTTCTTGCAGCTCAGTTACCGTAAAAAAAAAAACAAACCCTCTAAATCTCTAATGATTATTTCACTTTACCGATCTTAATAAAGATTTTCTGTTACAATTGCAGTGGTGCATAAGCGGGAAATGTGTAGACAATGGCAAACCAAGAATTAATGGAGGTTGGAGCGCGTGGTCTCGTTACGACTCACCATGTACACGGCCATGTAACGGCGGAGTCACGTTCAGAACTCGAACTTGTACAAATCCTGAGTAAGTTTGAATAATAACAAATCTAAAACCGTATTTCCTGCAGCATTTGGGCCTTAAGATTATAAAAGGCGTGTTCGTAATGATTTTTTTCTATCGTTATTTTTGTTTGTTTCTTTTGGTTGAGTGTGTGTGTGTGTCTGTCAGTATAGTTTTTTGTAGCTTTAAGTTGTTGTCGTTGTCGTTCGTTTTTTGCATTTTTTGTTACAACTAGCGATTTTTAAGTTTCTTATATTTGCTTTAATCTTCTTCGTCATTAGCCATCCTTGTTCCTTCCTGGTGTATGATTTGTTTTTTTTTATTTTTCTATCGCACTGAACTAATCTTTTGTGGTCTTCTTCAACTTTAAGGTAGCTATACACAGTGCAAAAACAGACACTTAAAATTCTATGACGAAGCGTCTTCGGCGGGTCTCTTCTGTGTACTCTTCGCTATACATTTCCTTTGGTATTGACCAGGGGAATTTTTTGACAATCAAAGCTTCTTGGCCACCATTTCCTTTATTCTCGTGATCTTCATGAATCATTCAGCAGTATAACTATAAAAAGAAATTAGTAGCTCATATCCAACAAGCGCAAGTGGAATAATTGTTTTAATTAAAACCCCCCCAAAATATAGAAAATATGGATAAATCTTCCGAATTTACTTTATTGTTTCCTCAGAGATAATTGCTTAGCTCCGATTTAATTTTGAGCATGGCGTATTGGCTCATAACCCATGAGCGCTAAGCATTATCTAATATATTTTCAACAAAATATCACCTGCAATCAGACATCTTCAACCGACTTTTTCTTACCTACTAGACCATCTAATGGCGGGGAATCCTGCGTTGGAGAAAGCAAGGAGTGGAAAATTTGTAACTCGCAGGTTAGTCCGGAAAATCGCCCACAAAAATACAATTTAATTTGGAATAATAGTGTCTCTGCTTAAGTGTTGTAACAGTGATACCTTCGGATTATTTACTGGAGAAGTATCCTCAACTTGAGTTTAATTTTTATGTTTTGCTATTAAAAGGAATATATAAGATCATAACATTGATTGCGTTTTGCGATTCCAAAGAATTGGAATACAAAAATTGTATTCAAATATTAAAAAACTTTGAGCACGGATGCCGACATTTTGAATTTTGTTTATCACTCTTGCAGGTTACCGTTGTCGTGGGCAAGTCTCAAACCTCTTTTGATATCTGTTTAAACAGTTTCAATTCACACAAATAAGCATTCTTGACTCAAGTTATAAGTAATAATTTTTATTTCTTCGATACCAGCGTAACGTAGCAGGTCCTTTTGAACTGCGCGTTTTTTTTTACGTTTGCTGCCGGGTTACTGAATTGTTTTCAAAATGGTAGCATCCCACGAAATTTTAGCACATTTGCAGACAATTTTCGAATGAACGGTTAAGCGAATCTTGAGATCTCAAACCGCGTAAGGAGTACATGTTCAAACTTTATATTAGCTGAGATAAATTTTTGATTGGGTCAGAACCATGTTTCTTCTTTAATCAAGCAAGAGAGAAGTATACTAGGCGAAGGAGTCTCCCAGGCTGATACAGATGCAATCCCGATCATGTTGTTTTAAGACTCCACGTTGGTTAACAAAAAGATAAGCCTTGAATGCGCTCTTTTGTAAAGCTCGCAGGAATCGGCTAAAGCACGAAAGAAGTGTGGGGAGAAACAAGAGACGTAGTTTCTCACTTCTTTGTTTTAAAAGAAAGAATCCGCTTACTTCCCCACGCATTACTCTATACTCTCTTATAAAATGTTCAGAGAAATGCGCCTGCCGTGATTGGTCAGAACGAGTTCATTATATTTCAATTAAGCACGCGCCTTAAGTCACACGAGTGCACTGTTGAGATATAATGCACGCAGTCTACGTCATTGGTACAAGCACGCGCAATTCACGATACATTTTATATAAGAAATAAAAAAACTTGTTCCTCCAGCATTGTTGAGTTATATAAGCACTTGAGAATTTTTAAGAACACTCGAGAAGTGCGAGAAGCACGAGCCGAAGGTGAGTGCTTCTCTGCACTTCTCTCGAGTTCTTAAAAATTCCCGTGTGCTTATATAACTCAACGATGCACTCGGCGCGTTTTTTATTTCTCTAATAAAGCACGTGACAATAAGCCAACCAGAATCCTTGTTAGAAGGGTTCAAATGATCTGATTGGTTGAACAAAACTAAAGCTGTCAAAAATTTTAAACTATCAAAGTTCACTATCTGCAGTAGTTTACAAACTGAAATAGTTCGGCACGTCGAATTCAAAACTGCCTGAAGCCTTTAAGTCTCTAATACAGAATCTGAGAGTGAAATGTTCGGTGAAGTCTGGCCGAACTGAAGCTCGGAAAAAACACGCACGTTTTTTTAGCATGACAATTAGAAAATAAAATTTTTTTAAGAGGGGTGTTTTATGAATGAACGAAGACCGAATTTACAGGAATATGAAGACTGCTCGGGATGGCAGCGCCTTAAAACTCGGCTGCTGTGATTGACGTGACCCTCTAACTCAACGCATCGGAAAAGATATAAGAGCAAGCTCTTATTTGTTCACTCTAGGGGCAGCCGATGTAAATTCTGAGGCTTGCTTCACTGCGATGACCGGAGATTGCGATGATGAGCTAGCCCCATGGACTCAGCATGATCGCAGTCGCTCTGACACCGGCATGATTAATATGAATTTTAACAGTTATGCCAGTTTAGTTATACTTTTCATTATTCCTGTTTTGCTCTATTTTGTTTTTGACCACGAAACTATGTATACTACACGAGTGTTAACTTGTTTGATTTTTCTTACCGTACGTAAGATTGAAGAAAGCCTTGAAAACTCGGACTGTCCATTTCATTTTTTGGGGGGATTTTCGTCTCTGCTCACGTTACAATAACATCAATTACGGCGCTTGACAGGTTTATAAACCTTTGTTTGGTTCTTCTGTTGCTATTTGCGGACTCGCTTGTTCCGAAATTACACTTTCAATTAACGAAAAAAACTTAGAGAGAAGTCCAGGAAATGGTCAGACATAGTATAATTTGGCAGATGGCGTGACAGCTTTAGCTCTCTCGCTCTATGTTCTATTTAACAAATAGATTCCAAGTTGCCGTGTGTCTGTTCAGTAATAGATCACAGAGGACGTCAAAATGTGGTAAGAACATCAGTGACATCAGCCACTTTTTTGTTCTTACCACATTTTGACGTCATCTGTGATCTATTACTGAACAGACGCACGGCAACTTGGAATCTATTTGTTTTATATAATAAAGAATTTAAAAAAAAGTTTTAATGGTGACGTCATCTATACGTCTGTCCTCCAATAGATCATAAGTGAGAACCAATCAAAACGCGTGCATAACTGAGCTTATTATATAAACTCTGATAGAGCACGCTGATTTAACCAATAGCAGCGCGCGTGATATCCGAACTTTATTATAGCGGTCTTTCGGAAATAATGTTTCATGGACTGCTTCTGGTTGGCAACCAAGGCTTGAATGTTTATAGCGGATAACAGAAAGACGCTGTATGAGATGTCCAGATGAGGGAAAACTGTGATAAAGGATCTTTTGCTTTTAAATCATCGGGTGGTTCTTGAAAAATTTAATAGGATTGACTACGGGATCAGTAATTGATCCACTTTATCATTTTTCTTACAGGCCTGTCAAGAAGGAGCAAAAACATTTAGAGAGGAGCAGTGTTTAAGAAAGCAATCTGGCTCAGTTCCCTACTTTGTTTCAAGTTGTATGTGTGTGACTTTGACTGTATTTCATTTATATATTATGTGCAATTCAAGACCATATGTTTACGAAGCTTCAAGTAAAGTTCGCTTACCATAAATTGTTACCTGTAATTTTCACCGAGAACTACGATTAGGAAGCTGGCAGCATGTTTTCAATTATCGCATCGAAGGTTTCCCTTGCTTATTCGAAGAATAACTTGCCTAATGAGTTAAAAATCATCAAACAAAATGTAATGGTAAGACAACTAAATACGATAATTTAACTAAGATACAACACTATTTTCGTTTTCAGGGAAGTTACATTTTTATTCATTTTTCATCTTCGTAATTTATTTATCTTATTTATTTTCTCAGCCCTTTGTGGATTGTACTGTCGTGTCGGAAACCTTGTGAGAGGCAAAGGTACCGTAGAAGACGGAACGCGTTGCAAGGCAGACAAAAACACTTATGATGTGTGTATCCAAGGAAAATGCCGAGTAAGTGACTTAAAATAATATTGCAAAAAAATTACCTGTATCTATTTTTTCTGGTTTGAAGATATCTGTTCACAAATTTATCTGAGCGATTTATAGAAAGTTTGCGTAGCTACTATGGCTTACGAAAAAGTATTCTGATACCAACCTTACTTCGTCTTCAGAATTCTCAGAGAATATTACAATTTGCAACCCGCAAAACTGTTTTATCTTTATGGATTGCTAAGAATGGAGAACATTTTAAAAATCCTTAAACTCCCATGAGTGACCGAGACAGAATTTCTCCTTACAATATCAATACAATATCAAGCAGACAAGTGATGAGAATAAAAACAATTTTAACGAAGGGTAATTAGTGGATCCAGTACCAAATTCTCCAAATTAAAATCACAAGAACTATATGGCAGACAGTAAGGGGAATTAGTATTACGATCTTGGGAACTAAAGGGTTAAGTTGAATTATGAATAAAGTTCTAAAAAAAAGCTAACAAACAAACAAACAAACTTCAGCTCCAAGGAATTATTTTCAAAGCAAACCATATTTCCCAGTCGATAGTTTTCCTCTCTTCTCGTTACCCTTTCTTTTTATCGAAAACCTTTTGGCATTTTGAGGAGAGAATCTTTGTGAGTCACTCCTGGAAGTGAATAATCTAAGATATGTTGAAAATTTGTAATATTTTTCACTCCGTCATGAATATGCATTTAAGGATGTCGGGTAATTATGGTTTTGAAATGTCACTTGACTAAATAGCCGGTTGGCTGTGATCACGTTCTGGACTCCAACGCAATGGTAGATCGCTGTGGCAAATGTGGCGGCGATGGGGACCAATGCTTCGTTATTTCTGGAAGTTATACGGCCTCTCACACTGTAAAAGGTACATTTCATAGCCCAGTAGGACAGTTCTTGTCGTTTACGTCATAGTTATGCAAATAAAGGGACACTAAAGAGGAGTTAGGCGCCTTACTTTGCTGTGAAAGAGATGTGACTAATATTAGGTATGTGGCTTTGACGCCCGATTCACTTGCACGGATTCCGCTGCAAGCATCTCGTTCAAATTTTTAGGTGTGTTTTATAGGTGGAGTGGTTACCTGGTTTTATTGGTGGCCTTTTTCAATTTTGTTAGATAAAATATTATGCATAAGACGGTTATTTGACTGTACTAGTTTGATAAGTGTTGTATGTCTGCTTCGGTAATCTATGATTTCACTCGAGTTTGTTTGATTCTCTTTTTCCTTGCTCTTTGTTTTATTATTATTCTCTTATGTCTCAGAGCTTTAATATTTACGAGGCAAAGTTAAGATTTTTATCGCCTCTTTACCATTTGCCGAGAGTACACAACAGTGCATAAGAAACCTCAGTAAAATTACGAATGATTAGCGAGTAACACCTTTTTTCATTTTGTTTATTTCTAGGTCTTGAAAATGCAGATGTCGTTCAAAGACTTCTCATTGGTGCTTACGACGTTTCTTTCAAAATGAGGCAGTCATCACGTAATTACCTCGGTAAGAAATCGAGGGACTTAAAGTGAAACCAACGGTATAACTTAAGGAGGAAGTACGCTTCAGGAACCATATTTGTTGCTGTCATTAACAAAAAAAATGTACTTGAAATTACGCAGTCAGTGTGAGAAATTCATGCCTTTGTAATGGCCGATGGAGCCTACTCGGCTTATCCTCTAAGTTTTACCTGATGTGTGCTGAGCGTTAGAACCCATATCGATTGGGTGTTGTTAAAGTAATTACGACCAATCAGGACAAAGGTAGACATCATCAGGGGCTGTTGGAATCGAAAGGTGAATCAATCGAACTGCCTGAAACACGAGAAAATCAGTGTAAGCAAGTCACGATTGGTATCGGAATTGCATATGTTTCGCTAAGATAGTGTTACGAGTTTTCTGACCAATCACAAAGCAGAGCAAGCAAAACAGAAGAACACACCCTCTCCCTGAATTTTAACGATTTATCATATCAGGTGTTGCGAAGTAACAATTTGTAACTAATCATCAGGCTGTGAATACTGGTGGTGAAAGCGCTCGATTGCATTTCAGGGGTTCAAGCGGACAATGGAACATATTTAGTGGGCAACGTAAGTAAAAACGTCCAGGAAGTTTCTGTTGCTAACACAGTTATCCAGTATACCCGCAAGAAGTCAAAGTACAAAGTGATACTCACGATTCCAGGTCCTACAGATCAGATTCTTAAAGTAGTGGTAAGCATTTTTCTATTAGGTATTGTTCATAGTAAACTTATTAGTGACTTTATTTGTGCGTTTCCCGTAAAAGTTTATTAAATAGAGAGTAATACATGGGCACGTGTGGATATGGAAATTCTCTTCGAGTGTTTATCTCAGTAGCTCACGAGTGTGCGCTGTGAGAGAATGAGATGTCGAGTTGAACACAAGAAGAGAAATTTCGTATCCACGCGCGCCCATGTATTATTTTGTTTATCATATAAACACAAAAGTCCTTTGAGGCAAGAAAAGTCAACTTTATTAATGAATGAAAATAAAAAGGATCGACAATCACCGAGTAAAAATCGTAAAGTCCGTCGGCGCTAATGCTCAAAAAGAAAAACTGCATTGAAACACCACAAAAACAAACAATGGCCGTAATTTTCATTACACAAAATATCTCGGCTATTGACTCGGTCCTTACCGATAGAAGAATTCTTTCAGGTAAACGGCCAAAATCGGCTTGTGGCAAATCTTCCAGTTCTTGATTTTCGTTTTCAGCCGCGAGAAACCACTAAATACGTAACTTTCAGTTTTTCTTTCGGTATTTTGGTTTTCTTCCCCCTCTAGGAAAGATTGAACGTCACTGTTAGTAAAAGATACGGATTTTTAAGTGTTTAGGAGCCATAATCCGAAAAAATTCCGACAAAAGACCTTGGATTGTGAATGGTGAAGGCTTTTCCGTTCATTTATCAACCTGACCAAGTGGCGCGAAAGGCGAGTGACGTGTCAGCAGCTGATTGGCGATATCAAACACACGTGAAAAACTACGACATTTTTCACGTGTGCTGTTACGGCTTTTCTCAGGCTGGTAATCCTTGTATAATACCGCAGTTTATATGATAAATAGAGAATAATAAATGGCGCGCGTAGATATGGAATTTTTCTTCGAGTGTTCAACTTGGTAGCTCACGAGTAAGTGCAGCCAAAATCGGTTTGTGGCATATGCAGGCTTGTCTTTACACATATCATTTCTACGCCATTATTTCCCACTTTAAATCATGTTTCACGTCCCTGAAAGCAATGTGGTTTTTTTTTGCATGGATGTGCACCCTTTTCCTACGAGCGTTTCGTGTCTCGTATATTCCCTCAGCATTTGGCAATTTTTTTGCCTCGTGTTATCTTCGCGTTTTAATTTTTGCCGTCTTATTTGTTGGTATTTTTTTACCAAATTCGTTTTCCTCTTCCTTATGAATTTCCCTCTTCTTCACATGCGTATTAAAGATAAGTTAAATTGAACGCCGAATAAACGTAATTGATTAAAGCGGGCCCATGCCTCTTCAATAGTATATTTGTCCTGTGTAAATCAAAATGGCTGTGCATATTTTAATACTTGTAACAGATAGTATGGGGGGGGGAGGGGGAGAGTGGTTATTTGTCGGACATTCCGACAGGTTACTTTGTCAACTTATGATTTCAAACTGTCCTTCGTTCCTTTATTTTCAGTATGTTTATGTCCAAGGTGGAAATCCAGGAGTAGACTTTGACTTTAAAAGGGTCGTTCAACCTTCCGACACACCGCCTGAGAATAAATTTGAATGGGTGACATCCACGTGGTCCGCCTGTTCCACAACGTGTGGCCAAGGTACAAACTCTTGAACTAGACGCATGCCCGTTTCTTCTCTCTTACGCACATGTTTCTGTTGGTCTTACTAAGGCCGGGCAAACCGTTTGATTTTTCATAATCAAGGTATACATTGAAATAGCCGAAAGTACTTACTGCTATTACGAGTAACTGAACGTTTAGCTGTAATTTTTTTAAGATGTGAATTTAAGTGTGCTTATTTGAGCTCGGCAACATAGAAGGCGATATTGATAATTTAGCTGATGGCGATACCCTCAACATAGAAGGTATTACCATGAATCCAGAAAATCTTACGACGTACATTTGAAAGAGCCTTTTTTCTAAATTCAGGTAATGCCAGAGAATCTGGTCACCCCCCATCACCGGGTAAATTCGACTTTAAGTTTAAATTTTCTTTTTTTTTTAACACTGGGCTGGTGTGTTCTAAGAAGTGAATTGAACAGGAACTATCAACATGTTGGAGAGGGTCAATGTAAAATATGGTGAAACCCACAGGCAGATACTTACCTTTTCGATTATCTACCTTCTCATATCCCGCCCTTGCTGGTGGAGTCATGACGGTATTGGTTTGCGTTTTCACTCGCAGGTGTTCGTACACGCTCAGCGAGATGTATTCGGTCAGATGACAAAACACCCGCCAGCGATGAAGCCTGTGGAGCAAAAATTACAAGTGAATCATGCCAGGTCAAGGACTGTCCCTCGGAGTAAGAGCAATGCATTTCTTTGACAATCGATTACTGAGTTAAATACATAGCTTATGGTCTACTTCTCACTAACGTGAGTTTGGGTTGAGTCTAACTTTTGGCTAACGCTTTCAGAGGCGTTCTTCAATGGATGAGAGAGGGTGCTGTTGCACGGCATCTATACATTTTCTGGGTAGAAGGTATTTTGGGAGTCTGCTCAGTATTACATCGATCAGAATCGATCAGAGATATAAATTTTGAATACGTAGATCGTTCCGTTGCCGTGAATAATCCATTGCGATAGATTAACCTGCAGTCGTTCGGCTTTTGACGTAGAAAGAGAAGTCTGAGCGCCGCGGTCTTGTGTTTTTATTGACAATATAAGTAACTCGAGAATTTTTGCTTTCAGATGGCACACCACTGATTGGTCAACATGTTCCAGATCATGTGGCAATGGGTTGCAGACACGCGATGTCATCTGCCGTAAGAAGATCAACCCTACAGATTATGGACCAAGCACAAACTGTCCCGCTGACCAAAAACCCAGCATTTCTGAGAAGGTTCAATATTGTAACAGCATCGATTGCCTGGCTGATTGGGACACTCAAGAGGGGCTACTGGTAAGTACCCCCTATTTTTAGAGGGTCTTTCAATCGATGATTTTCAATTTTGTGCATCAGGAAGTGAGTTATTATGACGGTGACGTCAAGTTAAAAGGCATCCTGAAAATGAACGTTTATTTCTCCTAAGAGTAACAAGAGTAGCTCTATGTGTTGAACTTCTCTAACGTCACCAGAACTCCCTTTCAGCATAATATGTCAATGGAACGTCAAGTAGAAACGTGAACGATTTTCCTTAGGGGTTCCTAACCTCAGACTCGGAAAAATTTTGTGATTTTCTCTTCTTATTTTGCTCAAATTGTTTGAAAGTGTACAAAGTTTTAATGCAAGGACGTGGAGAGCTATTGCTTTTTAGATATTTGTATTCCGCTGCGTTCTCGTTTCACTTTTAGGGTGTTCTGAAAGTCTTGTAAAGATCCATTACTGTCTTGCTTCAATACTGTCAGCTAGCAGTCAGTTGCTGCAAAATTATGAATGAGGAGCAGTTTGTAACATTCCTTCATACATTTTGTGAGAAGTTTATTTCCTGACAACAATTCTAGTCAATCCAAATTGATCGCATATGACTTAAGCGTACAACAGTGTGGGCTTTTCATAATAGTTAGATGTCTTTGGAAGGTGTTAGTTTGAGGTCTCAGTGTCCGCTGGACCAGGGTTGAGTTTGCCTCTTCTTTCTTCCCCTTTCATCGATTCACGTTACTCTCATGTTTTTTTCTGTTGGTCTGCCTTGTGTCCTTAGTGTAGGGTGAAGGCAATCCCAGAATCACTTGCTCCAGCCTCAACCGGCCGGCTACACCAGTTTGTTTGTTCTTCGCTTTGGTTAAATTTTCGTTAAGCTTCCATTTTCCACTTTAGCCGAATGGTTTCTCCCCTCGCTACAACACTCACTCTTACCAAACGGCCTCTATCTTTCCTCTAACTTTACAGAAAGACAAATGCGGGGAGCCAATTGATCCAGCGACGCTCTCTTGTTACCGATTGGATCACTTTGGCCAAAAAGCCATGGTTCCGAATCTTTTATGTAGGTACAGAGCCAAGCCGACACGTCTCCCATGTACAACTACATCAAGCCCCACGGAACAAGGCAAGGAACATACCGCAGCCCCCACAGACCCCACAGCCTCCGTCGACAAAAACGGTTCACAATCATATCGACATCAAAATGCAATATTTACCAGCGTATTGGTTCCTGTGCTTCAGATTTTGCTGGAGTATTATAATTTGGGATAAGTGACATTTAGTGACGTCTGTCCTTGTAGGAACTTTGATTTTACATTGTTAGAGGTCCCTTTTGTTACATGCCAAATGGCTCTCTCTTCTCGGGAGTGGGAAAGGATGCTCTGGTACATATGAAATGATTTAAAGTGCGACAATACGACCAAATCAGCTTCTTCTTAGTGTTCAATCAATGCGAATGTCCTCAAATATATTTTAACAAATTTGCATGGAAACTTTACCTTGGGTGTCTACTAGCATCTCAGCTAAAATGAACAGTCTACAACAAAATTATTTCCTGAAATGATCTTTAAAATAAAGGTTTTGCCGGGATAATAAAGCTACTAGGTCTCAACGAGAGTTAAACTAAGTTTCAGTATAACAACTTTTAGTAAAAAAACCGTTTTAGTATAATAACTTTTATCTAGTTTTTAAAGCAGGACGACTGATGTCAAGGGACAACCCTCTCTGATTCGGATTGAGGAAAAATAATGGCTTATTATTTAGGGTGTGTATGACTGACTTTCACTATTTGATAGTTGATGCAAACTGCGATAGGACGATTATTTCAAAATGAAGTATGCTGAAATATAATTAACCTAGAGGTCATTTTAAAAACCATGTTTATTATAAAATACAATGACCACACAAGTTTTTATTTGATCGCAATAATATTCTTTAATTATAAAAAAATGTAATTTAAATTATTTTGTATAAGCAATGTTAGAATAGATAGGATGCGAATTGAAATAAAGACAGTCGTTGGCTAGAAATCATGTTTATGTCCTTGATTTCCATCATAATGATCTGAGCCAGGCCTAACTTATGCTGAGTTCAATAATGAGCAGAGACGTCACCGAGAAAGTCGCAATGAAAGTACAACCTTTCTACACTTTTCCAAGACACTCAGTCGTTGTTTAAACTCCGAGTGTTGAGAAGAAAGTACCGGAATGGCGTGTGGTGCAATTAGCGCGCGCGCGCTAAGACATTTAAGAGCTAATGTCAGCATGCATCAGACAAACAGCGGCAAGTCGCTCAAATTCGTTTTCTCTCCTATTTTCATATTTTGTAGCCCAATATATCCTAATAATTGTGGTGTGGTTTTTTGCGAAAATATATGTTAGTTTCCGAGAAATGAGTTTTTTCGTTCGACCGCTCAAATATGAAAATTTTCACCCTGAATATTACCCAAGTTGTGTGACCTCATGTAACGAATTTACTTGATCCCGGTATTTCTATCGGCATAATCCTTTGTTTTATCATCTACACTTAATCCCCTGTCAATATTGAAGCTGGCAAAGATACATTTATTTTTTGGTGAATATTTTTGTCCGATATACTTTTTCTATGTCGAAAATTAGCTTCAAAACAAAGACAGTTTTAACAATGACCGATATGACAGAATCTACTGAGCTTCTAGCTTTTAAAAGACAAAAGGATGGTTATAAAGTTACTGTAAAAAGTTCTTTGTGTACATGTGTTGTTCTATCGTAAGACGAACTCAAAGTCCGCCAAAATTTACTTGCTAATGACTATGAAATATACATCGTGTGCCTACTTGTCGCCACCGTTTACTGGCATAAATCACTACATTTTGTAAAGAAATCTAACATGACACTCTTACCTTGTTTATTTATCACTCTACCGCATTTTAGCCAGATTTAATTTGCAGTTTGTAAATCTTGCCCACATTATTATATTAGTTGCATGACAAGCGTTACACATATAAATTTAAAGATGAATCAACCTCCGAATTACCTAGATATGGGTTTTTCCCCCCTCTTTTCATATCTATAAAAACCTTCCAAGAATTACTGTATTCAGAAAACTAAAACGTTCAGATCCATCAATGATTCCTTTGCCGGCGGAAGTCAGAGAATGTTTACAAAAGTCAATGCGATTGACAAGCTACATACTGATTTAGTTAATTGATCTGTTGTATAAGCGTCTCATCTTACATGCTAACAAGGAGATTTGCTGTTCATTTAAATCGTTCGCTGGTGGGACTTTTGGGTATAGTTATCGAGCAGACCGACGTTGCATATCTCAGGTCGTTACCTTGTGTAGTTGTAAAAAAGACATTTCAAGTTACTTGCGGAGATCCAGAAACTGAAGTTGATCTTATTTTGTCGCGAGCCGGCATCTTCGAGACGCCAAAAGATATCGATGATTTTACAATTTGCCCTACTCATAGATCAAATCTAGGTAACAGTGTTGGGTGGATTCGTGGTTCCATTAGTAGATGTATAGTGCCTAAAGAAGTGTACGGTAAGTGTAGTAAAGGTAGGGTTAAGTCGATTCCAAATGCCTATTGGGGAATTGGCAAGCGTGTACCACAGATAGCAAGCAAGACGTCTGGAAAATTCATATAACCTGGCTACTTACCACCTTGTGCAAAATTGCGCGTCCCGTCAGACTTAGGCCTCGATTGGGAATTGGTTAATGGGCTACCAAAAATCCAGAGGCGGAGTTTTCTACACTAATGTCTGAGCACCTTGTAGGCTTCCCGCCGTCTGGCGGAAGGCGTAATTAAGCACACAGTGGTAAAGGGCCCTTACGCAGTAGCTACAAGACGCTGACAAAATTTTTTCTCTTCATCGAAAATCACATCAAAATTTGTCCTTGCTAAATTTCAAGTGTGCTGAACATATCAGCACCCCCCGGGGAACCCCTATACATAAGAGGGCGAGGATGGTACCTGAGTCTTATCCGTGTGGGAGTGGTAACAACTGATATCGACCCCTAAAAAGTACCAATTTAAACACACAAAAAATTGAAAAATCCCAAAAATAAAAACTCTTTTATCGATGTGCTCCAGAAGCTCAAGTAAGGTCATTAAAATCGTCCTAGTAATGCTTATTTCAGGTATTTCATTGAGCGAAAAACACCTTAAAAGGTACCAGCTGAGTCTCTGGTAGTCCACTCCGTAAAAGGTACGACAAGCATCCTCACTCATTTCCGATCGCCTCCTTCCCCACCAACCCTGTCAGCACCTAAAAACAATAGATGTGATTTGCCAAATACGAGCTGTCAGTCTCACCTCGTAAAATTCACGTGAACTGGTTATTTACTTATAAAAACTTTTAGGCACTGATCTTTCAGATTTTTATGCTGACAAAATCTGTCCTGCTTCGGGGCAGGACGGCTGTACTTTTTTTTGTTTTGTTCGTCATGACATAATTTGGTAGGGATTAAAATAACTGTACGTCTGCATTTGTTAAACAGACTATTCAAGCGCATCCAGAGCTCGATGTGTGCACTTCTAGTCCATTAAGTATTCTTACCCAACACAGCCAAAGATCTTGCGATGTCAACTGTTCAAGCTTTTTTTTATTTTCAAAGAGACATCAGAATTATTTTCATGTAAAATTTGCTGTAAACTGCTTGCCTGTCATCCCTTGTTTTCAAGGTGTCCGACCAAGTATGACTGAAAATGACCTGATAGCATATTAGGGACGGACCATTAAACTTTTGATGCAGAATAAAAACAATTTTAACGAAGGGTAATTAGTTGAGCCAGTACCAAAATTCTCCAAACTAACATCACAAGAACTATATGGCAGACAGTAAGGAGAATTACTATCAAGATCTTGGGAGCTAAAGGGTTAAGTTGAATTATGAATAAAGTTCTAAAAAAAACCTAACATACAAACAAACAAACTTCAGCTCCAATAAATTATTTTCAAATCAAACCATATTTCCCAGTCGATAGTTTTCCTCTCTTCTCGTTACCCTTTCTTTTTATCGAAAACCTTTTGGCATTTTGAGGAGAAAAACTTTGTGAGTCACTCCAGGAAGTGAATAATCTAAGATATGTTGAAAATTTGTAATGATTTTCACTCCGTCATGAAAATGCATTTAAGGATGTCGTGTAATTATGGTTTTGAAATGTCACTTGAATAAATAGCCGGTTGGCTGTGATCACGTTCTGGACTCCAACGCAATGGTGGATCGCTGTGGCAAATGTGGCGGCAATGGGGACCAATGCTTAGTTATTTCTGGAAGTTACTGTAAAAGGTACAGTTTTTAGCCCAGTAGGACAGTTCTTGTTGATTACGTCATAGTTATGCAAATAAAGGGACACTAAAGAGGAGTTAGGCGCCTTACTTTGCTGTGAAAATAGAAATATGACTAATATTAGGTATATGGCTTTGACGCGCGATTCATTCGCACGTTTTTTAGATAAAATATTATGGATAAGACGGTTATTTGACTGTACTAGTTTGATAAGTGTTGTATGTCTGCTTCGGTAATCTATGATTTCACTCGAGTTTGTTTGATTCTCTTTTTCCTTACTCTTTGTTTTTACTATTATTCTCTTAGGTCTCAGAGCTTTAACATTTACAAGGCAAAGTTAAGATTTTTATCGCCTCTTTATAATTTGCCGAGTGCACAACAGTGCATAAGAAACCTCAGTAATTACGAATGATTAGCGAATAACACTTTTTTTCATTTTGTTTCTTTAATTCTAGGTCTTGAAAATGCAGATGTCGTTCAAAGACTTCTCATTGGCGACGTTTCTTTCAAAATGAGGCAGTCTTCACGTAATTACCTCGGTAAGAAATCGAGGGATTTAAAGTGAAACCAACAGTATAACTTAAAGAGGAAATTTACTTGAAATTACGCATTCAGTGTGAGAAATTCATGCCTGTATACTTTGTAATGGTTGATGGAGCCTACTCGGCTTATCCTCTAAGTTTGACCTGATGTGTGCTGAGCGTTAGAACCCATATCGATTGGGTGTTGTTAAAGTAATTACGAACAATCAGGACAAAGGTAGACATCATCAGGAGCCGGTGGAATCGAAAGATGAAATCAATCGAACTGCCTGAAGCACGTGAAAATCAGTGTAGGCAAGTCACGATTGGTATCGGAGTCGCATCTGTTTTGCTAAGATGGTGGTATAAGTTTTCTGACCAATCACAAAGCTGAGCAAGCAAAACAGAAGAACACACCCCCTCCCTGAATTTTAACGATTTATCATATCAGGTGTTGCGAAGTAACAATTTCTAACTAATCATCAGACTGTGAATACTGGTGGTGAAAGCGCTTGGTTACATTTCAGGGGTTCAAAAAGACAATGGAACATATTTAATGGGCAACGTAAGTAAAAACGTCCAGGAAGTTTCTGCTGCTAACACAATTATCCAGTATACCCGCAAGAAGTCAAAGTACAAAGTGATACTCACGATTCCAGGTCCTAAAGATCAGATTCTTAAAGTAGTGGTAAGCATTTTTCTATTAGGTATTGTTGATAGTAAACTTATTAGTGACTTTATTTGTGCGTTTCCCGTAAAAATTTTATTAAATAGAGAATAATACATGGGCACGTGTGGATATGGAAATTCTCTTCGATTGTTTACCTCAATAGCTCACGAGTGTGCGCTGTGAGCGAGTGACATGTCGAGTTGAACACAAGAAGAGAAATTTCATATCCACGCGCTCCCATGTATTATTTCGTTTATCATATAAACACAAAAGTCCTTTGGGACATGAAAAGTCAACTTTATTAATGAATGAAAATAAAAAGGATCAACAATGACCGAGTAAAAATCGTAAAGTCCGTCGGCGCTAATGCTCAAAAAGAAAAACTGCGTTGAAACACCACAAAAACAAACAATGGCCGTAATTTTCATTACACAAAACATATCAGTTATTGACTCAGTCCTTACCGATAGAAGAGGTCTTTCAGGTAAACAGCCAAAATCGGCCTGTGGCAAATCTTCCAGTTCTTTATTTTCGTTCT